ACTCCGACTTTTTGGGACTTTAGCCTATTCACCTTATCCCCCAGAGTTAGATAAGTCCATACATACCTTTTTCATCTCCGTGCGTGCTATAAGTCTGTTTGACGCACCCACCGCTAGCCTAGCTTAGCACAAAGACTGGATGTAAATGGTTGCAGCTAGCATACTAATCCAAATAAGTGACAAAATAACGCAAACATTTTCCTATTTACATGTTGTGATTTGTATAGTCACAGAGTGTACAAAAAACAAAGTCACATGAGACACAGACATATTTTAACCGTATAAATACTGGGAACTATATTCTCTGAAGGCGAAGCACTGCTACTTGGGCGGAGTGATAACCGCAGCGCCTGAGACGTGCCGTGGTGAGGAGCAGAGAGTTCGTTCAGAGTGTTGCACTAATCACTCCGCTCAAGTAGCAGTGCTTCGCCTTCTGAGAATATAGTTCCCAGTATTTATACGGTTAAAATATGTCTGTCTCATGTGACTTTGTTTTTTGTACACTCTGTGACTATACAAATCACAACATGTAAATAGGAAAATGTTTGCGTTATTTTGTCACTTATTTGGATTAGTATGCTAGCTGATATGAAAACTAGAGATTGTAAGCTTTCAAATGATATATAGTTTGTCAATATTAGTTTAGGTTTAGTATAGGATATTACTATTTTAAATATGTAATGACTTTGGGCCCACCGGTGGGCCGGTGATAAGTTCTATCGCTATTTTAACTGCGCTTATTTCCATCGTTGGTATAAGAAGTAGTGGGTGGTAATAGAGAACAAATGTACAGTTTTACACCATCATGCTGATAAGGTTTCTTTAGTCATTCTGCAATCCCGAACCCCTGTAAAGAGAGCACACTTACACTATATTTATGAATGTTTATTTTAGTGTATTTTAAACAGTGCTGGGATCTGATTTCCATTACACGAGAGTAGATGTTAAAACTTCATGCTGATTTGTACTCGGCTTTCGCCAAGATAAGCAAAACTAAGACGTAGCTTTACAGTAAACTATGCTTCTCCATCCATTTACGCTTCTTTCCATAAGGTAGTGTGACTCCCCTTCTGTCCGGCGTTAACGGCAGCAGTGTACTTGGCGCGTTAGCGCACGCGACGGCTGCAACTACAGGACCAGCACGACAACCGTCTGGATTGAACCGAGTAGGGGACATCTCTAGGGTCTTCAAGTGGGCACCTTCCGTCCTCAGTGTTTCGTCGACTAGCCCACGACACCTCAAGAGGGCTCGACAGTGACTCTGGCGTCCCAGAGTCACCCCCCTCCGTCCCCCACTCAACTCAGCCCAGCTTACTGACCTCAACATCCCTCCTGCTGCTGAGACCTAACCACAATATCACAATCTCTCCGCGACCCAACCATACGCGCCAACCCGTTGACTAAGGCTGTCGAGCCCCACTGGTGCGTTAATATGCAGTTTCAGTGGACAACGGTTCCGTATGGCATACCACCTACCGCAAAACACAATATCTACCCAACCACCCGTCATTCACGCAATATCCACAGGAACGTATACAAACAAACCAACAGACTCTTCAAGTTTTAAAGAACTCTACGAAACCGTAGCGTGGCGGCCTGTACACAGCCAGCTAGAATCTTTCCGTCTCAACCACAGCCAGTTGCTGCTCCTTTCTGCTGCTTCAGATAAGTTCTTTACTGTGCGACGCAACTCTTGGCCACTGAATCCGACGTCTCTGAGGAACCGGGTTGTAGAGTGTGCCACAAAACCTCGACAACCCACTTCCACTGGATAAACCTGGACTCTCCATCCTCGCTGTTCTGCTTCAGTGGCCAGATGAGCATACCGCAGTTTCTTCCTCTCATATGCCTCATCTACCGCATCCTCCCATGGCACTGTTAACTCTATCAGTTGAACAATGCGTGCTGATCCAGACCACAAAACAATATCTGGTCGTTGGTTAGTGGTGGCAATCTCAGGTGGAAAAATAAGCCGTTGGTCAAGATCAGCCAGCATCTTCCAGTCCCTAGCAGCTTCCAGTTGTCCTGGGCGAGAATTGGTGTTAACACCTTTTCTTGGTGGTTGCTCGCCTGGGCGGAGGAATATTGTCTTCTGCGTGTAATGTTTTGCTAGAACAGGTGGCAACTTATTGGTCATGTTACGCTTGCCTTCTAATGCTAAAGCCAAACATCGCAGTACTTGGTCATGGCGCCAAGTAAACCGACCTTGGCTAAGAGCCACCTTACATCCTGTCAAAATGTGCCTTAATGTGGCAGGTGATGAACACAAAGGACAAGAGGGATCCTCTCCTACCCAGAGGTTTAGGTACTGCGGTGATGGGAGAACATCATATGTTGACCTAATAAGGAAACTGATCCTACTCTCTTCCATTGACCAAAGGTCTTGCCAGCCCATCTTACGTTGTTCCACACTCTCCCATCTCATCCACTCTCCCTGCTTGGCCTGTGAAATGGCCTTTATACACCTCATCCTCTCCTCCTGCTGTCGCACCTCGTTGACTACCAGCTTCCTCCTTTGAGCTGGGCCTGCCTTGTGCCATTTAGGAGGAGCTAAACTGAGCCCAAAACCCCCTCTTCCATGCTGTACCTGTCCCACGATATCCCTAATTTGAAGGGCAGCCTTTGCCTCTACTACAGATTTCTTTGCTGACCACTTTCTACCAGTTTTTAACACAGGGGCTGCCTCCCTTACACATTTGTCGCGTGACTCTACTAAGGTCAGTTCCAGTCTGACCTTGGCACACTTGAACTCCTCGGTTAAAGCAGAGACTGGCAGCTGCAACATTCCTTTACTATAAAGTCCTACTCTGCTGAGGCAGCGTGGAACTCCCAACCATTTCCTGATGTATGAACTTACCAACGCTTCCAGCTTATCCACTGTTGTCAAAGAAACCTCGTACACGGTCAGTGGCCACAGCAACCTCGGCAGTAGACCAAACTGAAAGCACCAGAGTTTTAGTTTACCAGGTAGAGCACAGCTGTTTATGCTCTTCAACCCTTCCACTGCTTGTCGTCTAACTTCTCCCACCCGAACTGTGTCCTTTAGATCCCCATCGTACCATCTCCCAAGACTCTTCACTGGCTTCTCAGAAACTGTTGGTATTGCCTCACCATTAATGAAGAATGTTTTATCTACTACCTTTCCTTTAACTATCGAGATGCTCCTTGATTTAGAGGGCTTAAATTTCATTCGTGCCCATTCAATATTATCCGTTAACTTCCCCAATAACCGATTAGTGCAGGCTACTGTTGTAGTCATGGTTGTCATGTCATCCATGTATGCTCTGATTGGTGGTAGTCGCATCCCAGAAGCCAAGCGCTCTCCTCCTACTACCCATCTTGATGCCCTCATGATTACTTCCATCGCCATGGTAAAAGCCAGTGGAGAAATGGTGCATCCATTTCTCCACATAATTTAAGCCCTTTCACACACACACCACACACACTACTAGATTATAAATAGTTGCAACATCCATTTTGTCTGATAATAATAATAATGACATTCAATGGCCCTTTAAAATTAGCGTTTATTTCCTTTTATTCTCTGATTTTCTTTCAGTTTGTGAAAGGATGGCTATAAAAGCATAATTTCCTCATCTTTTCGTCCTCTTCTTGTTCTGTCTTCGGACAACAGTCTCTATCGGAAGGCAATAGATGTGCATCGGTATGTTCTTATAGTAGCTTGTCACCCAGGGCCTAGAGAGAAACAGAGAATAAACCAGCAGAAATGTGTTGTTTTCAGGTATCACATAAGTGTGCTTCAACAAGGCCATGGATAAATAGACGCTTTCACATAATGTCAGTTTAGGTGTGTTGCTCAAGGGCATGATATTGATGGTTTATGACTCTTTGGGGTATTAAAGGATTAGTTCACTTTAAAAAAAACTTTTGCTGATAATTTACTCACCCCCATGTCATCCAAGATGTCCATGTCTTTCTTTCTTCAGTCGAAAAGAAATAAAGGTTTTTGATGAAAACATTTCTCCATATAATGGACGTCAATGGGCCCCAAACGGTTCAAGGTCCAAATGACAGTGTCAGTGCAGCTTCAAAGGGCTTTAAACGATACCAGGCGATGAATAAGGGTCTTATCTAGCGAAACGATCACTCATTTCAAAAATAAATAAAAAAGTTTAAGTTTTATAAGCACAAATGCTCGCCTTGCTCTGTTCTGTGATGCGCGTTCGTGACGTCATGTAATACACAATTACGTTGAAAAGGTCACGCTTTATGAAAAGTCAAACATTTCTGTCCTGACGAAAATTTTCTTTTAGGCTTTTTAATATTACAACACCCAGGATACACACACGAAATGGGCATTTTAAACGATAAACTGACACTAAGACATTTGAATATGTGTATATGGTCCTCCTTCCACACATTTGAAAACACTGACTCGCTACGTCAAGCGTGACCTTTTCAACGTAATTGTGTATTACGTGACGTCACGAACGCGCATCACAGAACAGAGCAAGGCGAGCATTTGTGCTTATAAAACTTAAACTTTTTTATTTATTTTTTAAATGAGTGATCGTTTCGCTAGATAAGACCCTTATTCATCGCCTGGTATCGTTTAAAGCCCTTTGAAGCTGCACTGACACTGTCATTTGGACCTTGAACCGTTTGGGGCCCATTGACGTCCATTATATGGAGAAATGTTTTCATCAAAAACCTTAATTTCTTTTCGACTGAAGAAAGAAAGACATGGACATCGTGGATGACATGGGGGTGAGTAAATTATCAGCAAACGTTTTTTTAAAAGTGAACTAATCCTTTAAAGCCCTTAAACCACAGCAAACTATTAATTAGGTCACTAGCAGCAGTTTATATTTGACATGACAGCTTTCTGGTGTGTTTTGGAGAGGCACACGTTCATACTTTGCTGTTCGCTGGTTGAGGCTGAGGAATGACAGACTTCTCCAGCGGAATCGGTTCTCTTCTTGTCTAACTTGGTTCAGCTCCTGTCGTCTCTTCTCCTCTCTTCGAATGCTTTCCTTTAGGTCCTGTTCTATACGGGCCAACTGCACAACACATATTCAACAATATCTTAATGTCTCTTTATGAGATCAAGAGTTCAGTGAAAATATTTATGCACATTAAATGATAGTTTATAACAAATGATACAGAGAAAATGTTCTTAGTGCTACACAACTGTCATTTTTACTTCCTGGTAAAATTATACTTTATTATCTTTAATAAAACAGCATTTAATGTTGGCGCGCATATTACCGCTTCCAGCAAACCTCTCTGGTCTTCTGCTTTTCTTTGCTGCTCGTACAGTGTAACTGCAGATGGTTCTTCTGTTTTCTGAACGAAATGAGAGCTCTCCGATGGAAATAAACATGATGACCTATAAGAAAATGAAGATGTATCTGTATTGCTCAAAGCTGAATCATGTCCCACAGAATTCGTTTTTTGTTCCACCACAATTATCACAATGTGAAAAGTTTTACTAATATAATGAAGTATAATTTTTATCATAATTGTCCTTCTAAGCATCAGATTAGGGGTGTCAGTGTAAATTGTGTAAGATAATATCACGTTACTGTCTGTGCTTTTGTCACGGTTGGTGGTTGTAGATATAGGGACGGCTGACGCGAAACTGACGTTCCGAAGCTTTTCGAGATCCGAAGCGTGATTCAAAACACCCATGTCACGTGACTATGGCTAAATGAAGCTTCGGAGTGTTTGACAAGTGTTTGAAAGGTGGCATGGTCCGCCGAATCAGCGTTTAAATGACAGGGTCGGGAACAGATAGGGTTGCCAACTGTCCCGAATTAGCCGGGACGTCCCGATTTTTGGGCCTAATTTATTTGTCCCGATCGGGACCTCTCTTGTCCCGATTATTGAGTGCTACGCTGATCTGACTGATACAACAGCAACACGACACGTAAATTAGTTCAAATCTCCTAGAATCTAGAGCTGCGCATGCGAGACAGAACATAGCCCTACTGTATGTGCGTCAGCGCTAAACCGTGTAGCGCGGAGAGAGAGGGAGAGAGCGTGAGACCTTGCATGCGAGATACCCGGGATTGCATGGAGATTTGCGGGATGCACATCCAGGGCACGAAGCTCCTGTTCCACCACATCCCAAAGATGCTCTATTGGGTTGAGATCTGGTGACTGTGGGGGCCATTTTAGTACAGTGAACTCATTGTCATGTTCAAGAAACCAATTTGAAATTATTCGAGCTTTGTGACATGGTGCATTATCCTGCTGGAAGTAGCCATCAGAGGATGGGTACATGGTGGTCATAAAGGGATGGACATGGTCAGAAACAATGCTCAGGTAGGCCGTGCATTTAAACGATGCCCAATTGGCACTAAGGGGCCTAAAGTGTGCCAAGAAAACATCCCCCACAGCATTACACCACCACCACCAGCCTGCACAGTGGTAACAAGGCATGATGGATCCATGTTCTCATTCTGTTTACGCCAAATTCTGACTCTACCATCTGAATGTCTCAACAGAAATCGAGACTCATCAGACCAGGCAACATTTTTCCAGTCTTCAACTGTCCAATTTTGGTGAGCTCTTGCAAATTGTAGCCTCTTTTTCCTATTTGTAGTGGAGATGAGTGGTACCCGGTGGGGTCTTCTGCTGTTGTAGCCCATCCGCCTCAAGGTTGTGCGTGTTGTGGCTTCACAAATGCTTTGCTGCATACCTTGGTTGTAACGAGTGGTTATTTCAGTCAAAGTTGCTCTTCTATCAGCTTGAATCAGTCGGCCCATTCTCCTCTGACCTCTAGCATCAACAAGGCATTTTCGCCCACAGGACTGCCGCATACTGGATGTTTTTCCCTTTTCACGCCATTCTTTGTAAACCCTACAAATGGTTGTGCGTGAAAATCCCAGTAACTGAGCAGATTGTGAAATACTCAGACCGGCCCGTATGGCACCAACAACCATGCCACGCTCAAAATTGCTTAAATCACCTTTCTTTCCCATTCTGACATTCAGTTTGGAGTTCAGGAGATTGTCTTGACCAGGACCACACCCCTAAATGCATTGAAGCAACTGCCATGTGATTGGTTGATTAGATAATTGCATTAATGAGAAATTGAACAGATGTTCCTAATAATCCTTTAGGTGAGTGTATAGATACATAGATAGATTAATAGATAGATAGATAGATACATACATAGATAGATTAAGATAGATAGATACACAAAAATTACATTATGCACATTGAGGAGCCTACAGGTTACAAGCTTCACATATTAGAAAAATACAATAATAAAAAAACAACAAATGTTTTAATGGCTCGTTGTCAAGGTTATTTCAGATCAACACCTGCAAGTGACCACTAGGTGTCACCGTTGAGACGGGTGTCGGATGGTTTCGAAGCCTCGACACAATATGGCACATTTGCTTCAACTGTTTCATTGTTTCACGAAGCCTCGATCTGCCCACCACTAGTTGTAGATAGGCATACCTTGGTTGTAACGAGTGGTTATTTCAGTCAAAGTTGCTCTTCTATCAGCTTGAATCAGTCGGCCCATTCTCCTCTGACCTCTAGCATCAACAAGGCATTTTCGCCCACAGGACTGCCGCATACTGGATGTTTTTCCCTTTTCACGCCATTCTTTGTAAACCCTACAAATGGTTGTGCGTGAAAATCCCAGTAACTGAGCAGATTGTGAAATACTCAGACCGGCCCGTATGGCACCAACAACCATGCCACGCTCAAAATTGCTTAAATCACCTTTCTTTCCCATTCTGACATTCAGTTTGAAGTTCAGGAGATTGTCTTGACCAGGACCACACCCCTAAATGCATTGAAGCAACTGCCATGTGATTGGTTGATTAGATAATTGCATTAATGAGAAATTGAACAGATGTTCCTAATAATCCTTTAGGTGAGTGTATAGATACATAGATAGATTAATAGATAGATAGATAGATACATACATAGATAGATTAAGATAGATAGATACATACAAATTACATTATGCACATTGAGGAGCCTACAGGTTACAAGCTTCACATATTAGAAAAATACAATAATAAAAAAACAACAAATGTTTTAATGGCTCGTTGTCAAGGTTATTTCAGATCAACACCTGCAAGTGACCACTAGGTGTCACCGTTGAGACGGGTGTCGGATGGTTTCGAAGCCTCGACACAATATGGCACATTTGCTTCAACTGTTTCATTGTTTCACGAAGCCTCGATCTGCCCACCACTAGTTGTAGATAGGCACACGGCGATGAAGACGAATGTCAAAGTAAAGGCTTTAATAGATAATCCAACAGGCACAAACTGAGCAACCACATACATAATCAGACGAGACTGAAGGGTTACAAATTTATTAAATGTTTAATTTAGGTTTCCACTACAATAGTATATAAACTGATAAAGTTTAGTAGACTGATTTTAGATGATTGAGTCTCCAGCAAGAGTCTCCTTTCCTGCCAGTCCTGTTTTCTCAATTGTATTTTAAATTAATCAGATCACTGAGATCCTCACCTCTCAGCCTAGATGTTGAATCGTTAGGTTGATTGGATTAGCTATAGGGGAGAATGTACACGAGAGTTTTCTCGAATTAAACCGGAGATTTACCATACTGAACACGGTAGAGTCATAGTCGAAGATGAGTTGCTGAACTTTATTGTGATTAAAATGCGAACACTAAGCAATGATGATATTGTGTCGATAGTAACGAGCAGTTTCAGCTCTGAGCGGATTGAGGCTTCAAAGGCAGTTTTGGCAGAGCTCCTTCCACACTATAAAAGATGGATCTCACATAGGGGACAAAAGAAGGATATTAACAATGTCAAAATGTGCATGCAAGCGCTTAATGAGTGCGGTGAAGATATCCCAAGATTTGTATCGCACTTCCTGGATGAACTACCCCCCGTCTCATTTAAACACATTGATGTGTCGGTGCTGTTTGGGAAAATGCAGCAAATCAATATTGACATTGACTACCTAAAAAGAACTATGGGAACTCAGGTAGCTGCCTGTGAAACTTTGTGGGAGGTTTCTGAGAAACTCGACAGCCGGCTGTCTGCTGTGGAGGGGCACCGTGACCCGGACGATACTCTTTCTACTCTTTCGGCTACCTGCCTCTCTGCTGTGGAGACACAACCGGGACTTGCGCCTAGAGTGACAGGTCCCTTGGCCGTGATCGAGAAGCCAATGGGCGATCCTGTCTCCTGCCCTCCTTCTGGGGCTGATGGATGTTTGACAGCAACGCATGGTGAGACTGGCTGTAGTCAACCAGTTCAGTCTGTTGATCCAGCCCTGGGACGAATGCAGACGCCTCCGTGGAGCATGGTGGTAAAGGATGGGCGCCGACTGAAGCAGGTTCGGCTAAAACAAGTACTCGAGAATCCTGCCCATAGAAGCCCCACACCTTGCACTGTAAAAACATCAGCGAGGTATGTGAGAAAGAAAACTGGCATAATTGGGACTGGTGTAGTTAGTAATATACTGGCTGTCAAAACAAAGATGGTTAAGGTATTTGCTACAAAGTTTGATCTCAGTGTAGATGCATTTACTCTCGGTGAATACTTAAAAATGAAGCTGGATCGGCAAGTGACATGCAGAAAAATAGAGGCGCCTCAGAGTAGATTTAGTTCCTTCTGTATTTCTGCTGAATGTAATGACGTGGCTGAGCTATACGATCCGGAGCTTTGGCCCGCTGGGACTTTTGTCCGACGCTACTATGAGCCTCGTCGCCCTAGAGGAGCAGACGGAGCTCTGTCTGGTCCAGAGGATGCCCCCCGCTCTCAAGATGAGGGGCTGTTGCATGTTAATGTTGATAGGGTGCCTGCTGTAGTTGTGGGCGAGAACGGGGTGAAGGCCAACTGCTCCGGTGGGAATGATAAAACTTCTTAAAATGCGTGTTGTCTCATACAACTGCCGTGGGTTGCGAGTAGGACATACTGCTACTGATAGATCAAAACGTCTAGTTGTGGACACAATGCTGGATGAGTGTGACATTTTGTGCCTGCAAGAAACCTGGCTGGCAAAACAAGATTTGGATAAGCTGAACACTATACATGTGAACTTTCATGGGGCTGGAGAGTCCACTACTGACCTTAGTACAAAGATGGTTCGAGGTAGGATAGCTGGTGGTGTAGCAGTACTGTGGAACATCAAATATGACTCAATGGTGAATGTGGTGCGCTTAAATGTTGACTGGGCAATAGGGCTGGAGTGTAATTTTAATGAAAAGAAATTTACTGTCTTAAATGTTTATACACCGTATGAATCATATGAGCATGAGGATGAATTTTTGAACAGGTTAGCTTTTATTCAGTCATTTATTGAGGATAATAGTTCATCTTGTGTTTATGTTATGGGTGATTTTAATGCTGACATGTCAGATAGCAAATCTTTATTTGCAGAACACTTGCAGCAGTTCTGTAATGAGTCTAAATTAATTCTATCAAGTATAGCTCTGCTACCTGATACAAGTTTTACCTATGTTAGTGAAGCGTGGAACACAACATCGTGGTTAGACCATGTTGTGACCACAGCTGATGCTCATGCTTCACTGGTAAATGTGGAGATTTGCTATGAACTTGCCACCTCTGATCACATACCAATTGCTGCTCTGTTAGATGTTGAGAATGTTCCTCTGTTGTCCAGAAATAATAATGTAGCTTCCTCAAGTAAACTGGGCTGGGCAAAGCTGAGTAAAGAGGAGGTGGCTGAATACTCATTGCGAACTGAACGTTTTTTAAATAATATTGTTATGCCCCATGAGGCCCTAATGTGCTCAGATGTTAATTGTAAGGATGTGCAACATGTTGAAAAACTCTGTGCCATGTATGATAGTATTGTGAAATGTTTAAATGCTGCCAGTGAACCCTTTTGTAAAACGAAATGTAAGGTACTTAACATCAGACCTGGGTGGAATGAGTTTGTGGCTGGGTATTATGATGAGGCAAGAGAGGCCTTTAGACTCTGGTCAGAAGCAGGTAAGCCTAGACATGGGGTACTGCTTGATATGAAAAAACAGACAAATGCTAGAGTTAAGTATGCACTTCGTTTTATTAAGAAAAATGAAAATACAATGAGAGCAGACTCGCTGGCCAGAAAGTTACAGAAAAACAGCCTCACTGACTTTTGGCAAGAGGTCAAAGTAATGAATAACAATAAGATTTCCTTACCGGCTGATATTGAAGGTAGTAGTAGCCCAGAAAAAATAGCTGAGCTTTGGCGAGAGCACTACTTTGAATTGTTTAATTGTGTTAAAAGTAACCCAGTTGGACTCAATCATGAACATATTGATTTCTCGGCAGATATGATAATTAGGGCAGCAGATATTTATGATGCCATCAATATGTTGGAGAACAACAAAGCCTGTGGTATGGATTGCATTACTGCAGAACATCTAAAATATGCCAGCCATAGGCTCTGCCCATTGTTGTCTATGTGTTTTAATGGTTGTCTGGGTGTCCTGCCTAATACTTTTATGTCTGTAATGTTATTGCCTGTGCTTAAAGACAAGGCTGGTAAGCTCAACAGTATTGACAACTATCGACCAATTGCATTGGCCAATATCTTGTCTAAAGTACTGGAGAGAATACTGCTAACAAAGCTAGAAATGTATGTCCTTACTGCTGATAATCAGTTTGGGTTTAAGAGAAGGCATGGAACCGATTTGTGTATCTATGCTCTTAAAGAGATTGTGTCCAGGTACACGAGTCTGAATTCATCTATGTTTTTATGTTTTATTGATGCGTCAAAGGCATTTGATAGAATCAATCATGAACGATTGTTTGTAAAACTGTTAGATAGAGGTGCCCCTAAATTTTTAGTGAGAATTTTAGTGTTTTGGTATGCCCATCAAATGTTTCAGGTTAAATGGGACAATGTTGTATCTGCTCCTTTTCATGTTAGCAATGGAGTGAGACAAGGTGGTATTATGTCTCCTATTTTATTCAATGTCTATGGATGAATTATCAAACCAGTTAAATAGGCTAAAAACTGGCTGTCTTGTGGGCAATACTACGGTTAATCATCTTATGTATGCAGATGACTTGGTCCTGCTCTGTCCATATAGTGCTGGGCTGCAGCAGTTGCTGAAGGTGTGCTCTCAGTATGGCCTTGATTATGATATAAAGTATAACGCTAAAAAAAGCCACATAATGGTAGTTAGAAGTGATGAGGACAAGAAATCAACTTTTCCGACTTTTTATCTGTCAGACAGCCCTCTTTCTGTGTGTGAGGAAGCTAAATATTTAGGTCATATTATATCCAATGACTGGACGGATGACAAAGATCTATACCGTCAACGCTGTAAAATTTATTGTCAAGCTAACATGCTTATACGGAGGTTTTCAATGTGCTCTGATAATGTGAAGTGCTCTTTGTTTAGAACCTACATCACACCGCTATATACTGCTCAATTGTGGTCTAATTATAAGAAAAAGAGTATGCAGAGGCTCAAGGTAGCATACAATGATGCGATGAGATTGCTGCTTCGTGTCCCTAGGTGGCATAGTCTAATAGAGTGCCGACTTGGGAGGCGCTCTTGAGACAACTGATGTTTGGTTTTCTGGTTCGTCTGGACAATTCAGTAAACAGTATAATTGAGGCCCTAGTCAATCCTCTTAAAAGCTGTTATAGACATACTTCGAGGTTAAGACGACATTGGTGCAATAGCCTGTATCTCCTATAGAATTTTTAATGTATTTTTGTATCTCTTTTCTATGCTGTGTTATATGGACTTGTGTCTGCAATAAAGTTTATATTATTAGATGATTGAGTCTCCAGCAAGAGTCTCCTTTCCTGCCAGTCCTGTTTTCTCAATTGTATTTTAAATTAATCAGATCACTGGGATCCTCACCTCTCAGCCTAGATGTTGAATCGTTAGGTTGATTGGATTAGCTATAGGGGAGACTTCCACCTTTTGTCTTTAATGGCTCTGGGATGGCTCTGGAACCAGAGTTCCTGGCCATTGGAATAAGTTATGCTGATTCAATTGGACTGATAGGGCTTTCAGAGTAGGGTGTGTTCCCACTTCATTTGCATGCTTTGTTTCAGAGTGACTCCACCTCTATGTAATCCCTCCCCCTTTGAAAGGTATATATTACAATGTTTGACTCAAGAAGTCAGACGAGTTTGAACTACAGCGAGCAATAAAGAACTTCTGCTTTGAAATATACCTCACCGTCTCACTGGTCTGCGCTTCTAAGTTTCCAACACTTTAGAAGAAAATAGTTCATAACAGACCGAACAATGAAACACAAACAGAACAGAACTGAAGTACACGTGATAATGAGGGAGATAATAGTGCACAGCTGAACATAATGAGTAACCAAGACAACAAACGACTAACTCAGGCAAAGGGTGAAGAAACACAAAAAGTCCAAACTAACAGAACCGGGACAGCTTTATTGTTGTTTTGCAGGTACAAGCCAAATGTGTTCAGGTTTATTTTGCAGGTATATTTAATGTGTTTGGTTGATTGATTGCACCAGAAATATCAATGACTTTGTCTTTGTCAAATTCAAGTAGCTATGTCTTGACAAGCTCTTATCATTAAAAAAAAAATGGTGATTTATATATCTGTCACATATGGGTGGTTGCAATGAGAGCACAACGATAGACATAAAAAAAACTGTTTTTAATATTAAATCAAAAAAGGGAATACGTAGAAGAATAAAAGGAATAATATATAAATCAACCACATAATAGAAAGACCACACAGAACAATGAACAGTGGAAACTAAGCTTATAAATACACACAGATAACTAAATGAACAACAGGTGAACATAATCCAACGAGAAACAAACTAGCAAACAGAACTCAGGAAAAGCAGCGCAGGGAACACAAGGAAAACAAAACCAAAACTGAACGAGACCGTTACAATATCTTGCTCACAATAATCTTAACTTCTTAAAACAAAAATATGTTACAATGGAATTAAATGTATACCCCATCTGTGAAGATAAATAAACCATTCAAATACTCACTGTTTCAATAATATACAATACATAAGACAAACAATATATAATGTATGTTAAAATAATTTTAGTGTGGAAAAAGTTTGCACAATTGTATAGAATTGTGCAATTGTGTTGCCATGACAACAAAACAGCTAAACACACACACACACACACACACACACTTTACAGTGGTTTTAATTGAAAGTAATTTAACTCAAAAATGAATGTGAATTTTTTTTGATTATTATAAGCTTCACATTTCTGCTGTATAATCCTCCAACAAATGTCCCCATTCATCCCAGACAGCAACATAGTGTCGGCGCAGATCCTGGCCACATCTGGTACATGGATTCAATGAATACCAGATGTGGGCCGGATCTGGGCCGACACTACTGTCTGGGACATCTAGTGTAAGTGTTTCATTCATTGTAACCAAAAACATCAGCAGTCCTGAAAAATCTAACCAAAGAATGATTTTTCTTTACTGAAAATAAATGTTAATTGATCCTTTGTGCTGCATAAAACCCTGACAAAGAGGAGGAGAAGGAAATAACAGCTTTGCATACCTCTGTTCTGTTTGCTCCATCTGCTCATCTGTCAAGAAATCTGTGTCCATGGTCTTATCTAAAGTGCTCTGGCAAACAAAGAAACTGAAATGAATTTTGATTTAAAGGGGAGGTATAATGCCCTTTTCACAAGATGTAAAATAAATCTCTGATGTCCCCAGAGTGTGTGTGTGAAGCTTTAGCTCAAAATACCCCACAGATATTTCTATATAGCATGTTAAAATTGTCACTTTTTGAGGGTGAGCAGAAACGCACCGTTTTTGTGTCCGTCCCTTTAAATGCAAATGAGCTGCTGCTCCCGGCACAGGGGGCGGAGCTTCAAGAGCTTGTGTCCTTTTACCTCACACACACACATTTATGTTCAAACCGAAGTCAGAAAGATGCAAGACTCAAGAAGAGGTGACAATGCGGTTAGTTGATGAATTTATGCAGCTTATGTGTAGTTATCTTCTAGTCATTGATTAGCATATCCAGGGCCGCATTAAGAGCTCACTGGGCCCCGGGGCTATGAGTTACTGCAGGGCCCCCACCACTACAGGTCACCAACTACATGAGCTAAATGTTCTATCATTATACGAGTCAATTTATCCATCTATGATATACTTCACACAGTTAAGTTATATTACTTTTAATACGATTTTTTATCATATCAAAATTTAATGGCACTAACATTTCATAATTCTTGTGATTTCAATATCACAAAAAATAATAGTAACTTAAGAAAAGAATCTCAAGCTTACCGATGACAAGAGTCACAAATAACAATAGAGCAAAGGCACATAAGAAATCGACCTTGAAGAACTTGAAGCACTGAATAATATTATATTGTATAAAGTAGCCTAATCAAATATACAATACATAATTTTCACTATAAATTTAACATTCATTCTTATTAATTTTACAAAAGTGATTCATTCAAGGGCAGTAAATTACTTTCTTTCTGATGTTTGATTAACATTATGGACACAAATGGCGACAGCAGCTTTATTAGCAGCTACTGTCACTTTAAGACCTCACGGTCGGAACTCAAGTGCGCTGTGCAAAACCGCCTCAAGTTCACCATCATTTAAAATAATTTGTATCCAAACCACAATGATTAAAAACGCGTTTAATTTATAAACTTACATCATGATGTCTCAGCAAAATTTACATTTTCTACCGGATATATTATCGCCAGCCCTTTAGGCGAATATAGAGTTTGATCAAACACAAAAAGCAATATCAAACATCCATCAAGTTAATAATCAAACTTACCGAAAATTTGTGGGGTCGACGATGACGCTGTGTTTTAAAAAATAGTCTAGACTCTAGAATGAAGTGAAGGGTGGAGGCGATTTATTGGTTGATGCGTAGCTATATTCTAATAAGGCGCAGGCACTCCAGGCAGCCATCTAGGCCTATGTGCAGCATAGCAGGTCGATCGTTCACAAGTTAAATATAGAATAAATGTATTATGTTAAATTAAAACGTGACGTTTCATTTCACCATGCCCTGTCCTGCTGCCCACGGGGGTTTGATTGACAGGCGACCTGGCCAATCATAACGCCGAATACGCAATTTTGTCCGACAACAAAGCTGTCAGTAGATTAACGTCGGTGGACTTGAACTTGAAAACGGTATTGTTTAAATTATTTAAATTACAATATTTGAAAGTTGAGACTTTGTTTCATATCAACAGTAAGCTGCTCTGAACTCTCTCTCGTAGTCAATTGTGTAACGTTAGTCTTTGCCCCGCGATGTATTTTTCAGTGCGCGAGTGAGAACATGATGTGAGTGACTCGTGAGAGCCGCCTGGCTTGTCACACAGTAACTAAAAAAGGCGGGTCTTTGCGAGCGGTCACTATAATATTAATGATAATGATTCCATGATAATGCATGGAATATTCGGCAAAGCGCTACTAAATAACAGGGCTAATTTGTGGGGGGCGTTGCGTGGTAAGGCTTTGGCAATCAGATGGCTAGTACTTTCTGCTCCACAGCCAATCAAGGGCCCCCTCCTTGTTCGGGCCCCGGGGCTTTAGCCCCGCCTAGCCCTATTGTTAATGCGCCCGTGAGCATATCCTGTCTTGATAATCTATAAATCGTGTTCCGGGGGCGGGGCTTATGTAAATTTTAGGGTTGTTGATGTCACTAACCCGGGAGGAATGTCGTGTAGTTCCTACCAGCCGTTTGTTGTAGTCCTTAAAAAGCGATTTCTGTAAAAGCAAATATCTTCCATTGCTCTGAACTTTGAGCGTTGTAACTTTGCAGATGTTGTTTATGATCAAACAGCAACATTACACACTAACTAAAGTTAGACAAGTGAAATCATAATCAACAACCCCTTTAAAAGCATGTTCTCAAGTTTAGGATTATTGCTGTTTTTAAATGGTTTTAAAAAGGAAAGCATGTGGGGATTTAATCTCAGTTGAAAACTTATCTTTTTAACTTAGCTTTTAGTTAAGGATTGATTGAAGTAATAACTTATTTTTAATTAGTTTTCTATCTCTCTGTATACTGATCTCACTATGTCACGGGGTGACAATGTTTGGAGGAGGCGGAACCATGAGGGACACGGCGAGTGTCCCTGGGGGGAATGGGTTGACCTGCACATAGCCGGCGACAGGATGGTTGAACTTCCGGTTTTTGGTAAACAAACCAGTCACGAGTAACTCGTAATGGAAAACTGGAAACAGGTGCACGGGTTAATCGAATTACGCTTGTGATTGGTGCCTATGCTGGTTGAAATACTTTAAATATCTTAAGGATCAGAGTATGAGGAGGTGGAAGACGGCAGCGCGGTGGGCTTGGATAATCGGTTGGAGTGTTGACGTTGTGGAGCGGGCGAAGTGCCAGGATCATTTCGAGCAGAGGCGAGTTAGAGGCAGACGTACCTATGACTAAATGTGGAGCCTGAGAATTGCATCTATAGCGACCTGTCCTGTGGACACTGGGAGACTGAGGATACGTACCCCCGCCAGATAAGTGCTTGCTTTACACTGATGCGACTGTTAGGTCACGCTAGGAAGCTGTTATCCCCCCTGAACGTTGTGCTACGCTTGTCTGTTGCCCTCTGGCTCTTCCTAATTGTAACCAAAGCTACTCTTGTGTGGCGGTCTGCCGGGACTTTCTATGTTTATCTGGTTATCGTATGATACGACAGGATAGCCACGTGACTCTGCCCTGCCAGAGAAATTTCTCCTTACATTGTTTACACTGTGTGCTTTTGTATGGAGCTTTGTTTGTAGTAGTTGTGTGCCACAGACACGTTTGGTTGGAGTGCCCACTTCAAAGGAAACACCCCGAGTGCAGTTTCTTCACGAGTGACTTTAACCCTATGGGGACCAGAGTGTTTTTGGGGCCCTTTGGATGTTTTGACATGCACTGACATTTGTGCTTTTTTCAGTTATTTATAAACATGTTAATGGCAACGGTGTAAATTCACTCTATATATCACAAACGGGGCTACCATAATATGTGAGCAACATGTATGTACATATTTGTATTTTTTAAGAGAATAATGTTTATGCGTGGTTATTGAAAAAAATAAAAATGAAAGTTGCTGAAATAAAACCACAAAACACATACTAAATATGTGTCCACAAGACTTTTGACTAATGGATGTTGTCGCTTCGAGTTCTGGCTTCAAAATGATGTGAAAATCATCCTGCCTGATAGTTCACATAAAACAATAACATTCATTTATACTTTGTATGACAGTTTTTTGGTCAGAAGAGGTTTATGCGTGGGAGTGGTAATGGCCTATCAATATTAATGAGATTCAGACCAGGGGTGTAACAGACACTCTCCCAATGGCTAATGGCCCATCAAGTGAGGCAGCTTGAACAAAGAATGAGAGGAGATTCAAAGGTTTTCAATCTGTTTTATTGTAATTCCTCTTTGTGGAGAAACTAAATGTTCTAAATTTGCTCTAAGCAAATCAAATGTGAGTAAAATAAATAAATAATCAGTCGGCTATATACAAAGCAATTGTGAGCGATAAATAAACAAAACTAAAGGCAGGTATCTCACAGTAAATGCTTATGCCCCATTGATGCGTAACAATAGGAACTATTGTTGAACATGTTGTTGGAGTGGGGAACAAAAAGAGAGGACACACCTGGGAAGTAATGACATGTGAAATGTGTGTAGTTACCCGCGACTCCCGAGTTCATTAAAGAAGAATCAAGATAGTCTTGAGTGTTTGTCTTTATTAAGAAGAAAAGACGCATAAAGAAACATGGTGGCAGCGTGGGCACTTCTAGACTACTAGATTAGAAGTCGAGAATGTAAGGATTCAGGGCGGATCTAATCCGTGGGGAATTTGCATAAATTAATTAATAATTGGTAATTAATAATTATTCATACATGTTTGGATTAGATCAATCTTACATTGAATTTACTCTCCCTCTAAGGGAGGATCTATCATTTTACCTGCATGCATACGTGTATCCTTGCATTTTAACTACAAGTTGATTGCATAGATCACGTTTTACAGACAGGTAAAATTTAATTAGCTCAATTGTCAGATTAATATTGGGGGAATCCCACATATCATCTTACTTCATAGGATTTCAGGAAACGCAATTCTCTGGCCAGAAGAACTGGGTTTTCTGCCCTATAAACACATACTCTTTAAAGTATGTTTAATTTATAAAGCCGTAGCTTGATCTATTCATTTCAGAGACCTGGAGTATGAGCAGACACAGTAACATCAATCAAAATGAATATAATGGATTTAATAAAGGCATGACTACTTATGTATTTACTACGGTTACATGGGATATATGTATTTACAAACACATAGACAACAATGAACAATACAATAAGACATCAATGAACGAGAAATGCATAAAGTTTGGACAATGGATAACGTACACGCGTGAGCGAGTACGAGAGAGAGGAAAGGGGATGGGGAGAGAGAGAACAGAGAAATTGGGAGAATTTCATTGGCAGGAAGACATTCACCTCTCTGATAACAACACGAAACATCATCTTAAAACTTCTTAGAAGCTCTATAAAGAGATAATACCTGCAATCAACTTATGTTATGGTCTCTCTCTGTGTCGAAACATTCCTGTACGGCCCTGTCTGGCCGCGTGAGCTG